TAAAATCCCCATTAGACATCCAGGTGGAAAATATTTAGTTGGCAGTTGAATATGAGTCTGCATCTCAGAGGAGAGGTCAGAGGAAAAGGCAGTGCATAAAGGAAGTAATGGTCAGCTGGGCTACATGCTGTTGACAGGATGAGCCAGTTAAATGTAGAAAGTGTCTGATAGATTTGGGAAATGGAAATCATTGGTGACCCATTCAGGAGAGGAGGGAAGCCAGACTAGGGTGAGATGAAAAGAGAATGATGATATGTGAGAGAGAAGGGATAGAGAGGGTAATATTTTGCTGGGAGATTTGGCTATAAAGGAGAGTAACAAAAAAACAAACTCACTGCTGTCAAGACAACCCCTCTGGATTTCTGAGGCAGTATCTCTTCGGAAGTAGATTGCCTAATCTTCCTCCCAAGGAATGGCTAGTGGGTTTGTACCACCAGCCTTCTGGTTAGCAGTCAAATGTCTTAGGCACTACACCACCAGAACTTCCATAAAGGAGAGTAGAGAAGTGGAAAGTTCTTGATATGGGGTCAAGAACAGTTTTTTGTTTTTTTTTAATAAAAGATAGGATACACTAGAGTATGTTTGTAGGCTGATAATATCATTAGTTAGAAAGGGAAGAATCTGTAACTATGTATACGTTTTGTTTTTTTTTTTAAACTTTTAAAATAAATAAATAAATATATCTGTAATGTAATAATTGTACAGTGGAAAGTAGGTCTTGGCCCTCTCCCTGTCCCATGGGCTCAGTTTCACTTCTTAAAGATAATCATTGTTACCAATATCTTGGATAGTTTTCCAGAAATATTATCTACATATATAGCGTATACTACTTGTTTTATAATATCAATTCTCAAATATATTCAAGAGCAGAGATAACCAAATAATGTACTCCCATCGCCTTACTTCAATAGTTATCATAAATTTATGTCCAGTCTTCTTTCATCTGTATCCCACCTACTATTCACCCACCCCTACCTCCTGTACTATTTATTTTAAACCAAATCTCAGGTATATGATTTCATCCATAAATATTACAGTATATAATACTATAATAAATAGATAAGAACTCTATTTTTAAAATCACATGTAAAACCTAAAAATATTTAATTTCTTACTATCATCAAATATTTAAAGTGTTCTCATTTCCCCAACTGTCCTATAAAATTTTTATTTTTTTTGAATGAGGCTCCATACAAGGTCCATTGCATACATTGCAATTGGTTGATATAAGTCTTAAATCTCTTTGATCTATAGGTTCCCCTTGTTTTTTTTATCTTCCTTGCATTTTATATTGTTTTTGAAAAAACTAGGTGTCTTAGTTATCTAGTGCTGCTATAACAGAAATACCACAAGTGGGTGGCTTTAGCAAAGAAAGTTATTTTCTCACAGTTTGTTGTTGTTGTTGTTGTTATGTGTCTTTGAGTCGGACCTGACTCATAGTGACCCCTCCTTGGGTTTCTGAGGCAGTATTACTACAAAGTAGATTGCCCTATCTTCCTTCCGAGGAGTGGCTGGTGGGTTTGAACCACCAGCCTTCTGGTTAGCAGTCAAGTGCCTTAGGTACTAAGCTACCTAGAAATCAGAATCAGGGTGCCAGCTCTAGGTGTGGGCTTTCTCTCTCTGTCAGCACTAGAGGAAGGTCCTTGTCTATTTTGAGCTTTTGCTTCTGGGTGATCTTCAAGTGGCTTGGCATCTCTCTTCCCCCAGCTTTGCGTTGCTTGCTTGTTTAATCTCTTTTATATCTCAAAAGTAATCGACTCAATATACACCCTACACTAATCATGGCTCATTAACCTAACAAATACAATACATTCCAAATGGTATTACATAGACACAGAGGTTAGGATTCATACACATATATTTTGGAGACATAATTCAACCCATAACACTGGGTCATTTGTCCTGAAGAGTTTGCTGCCATCTGAATTTTGCTGATTGCTTTCCTAAGTTGTTCAATACCTGTTCTCCTTCCCTGTATTTCGTAAAATTGGTAGTTAGATGAGGCTTGATCAAATTCCAGCATTGTTTTTTTTTTTGGTACTTCACAGATGATGATGTATTTACATCAGAAAGTATACAATGTCTTGTGTACCTTCTTTTTGTGATATTATCAGGCATTGAATATGATTGCCTATGTCCATTAAGTCATCAGGGATTGAAAAATGGTAGTTTTCTTATTCTACTTTTCATTCTTCTTTATTAGCTGAAACACTTCTGTAAGGAGAAAGTTCCCTCATCAACTATTCCATTACTCTGAGGTATAGTTTGTATAGGAAAAGTAGGATAAATGCTTGATTTTTTTCACTGACAATTTTCTGAATAGTAGTTGTTTTCTTAGTATCCTCCAAAGGTGACCAGTGATCAGACAAGTTGTGGGATGACATCAAGTACTTCATACATGAAGAAAACAAAAGGTCATTAAAAAGACAAGAAAGGAAGGAAAGACCAAAATGGATGTCAGAAGAGACTCTGAAACTTGCTGTTGAATGGAGAGTAGCTAAAGCAAATGGAAGAAATGATGAAATAATAGAGCTGAACAGAAGATTCCAAAGAGTGGCTTGAGAAGACAAAGTAAAGTATTATAATGAAGTGTACAAAGATCTGGAGTTAGAAGACCAAAAGGGAAGAACACACTTGTTATTTCTCAAGCTGATGGAACTGAAGAAAAAAAGAAAATCAAGCCTGAGTTGCAATACTGAAGGATTCTATGGGCAAGATACTGAATGATATAGAAAGCATCAAAAGAAGATGGAAGAATACAGAGTCACTGTACCAAAAAGAATTGGTTGACATTCAACCATTTCAGGAGGTAGTACGTGATCAAGAACCAATGGTATGGAAGGAAGAAATCCAAGCTGCACTGAAGCAACTGGTGAAAAACAAAGCTCCAGGAACTGACAGAAGAGCCATTGAAATGTTTCAACAAACAGATGGAGTGCTGGAGGCACTTACTCATTTATGCCAGGAAATTTGGAAGACAGCTACCTGGACAACCGACTGGAAGAGATCCATATCTGTGCCCATTCCAAAGAAAGGTGATATAATAGCATGTGGAAATTATCACACAATATCATTGATATAACATGCAAGTGAAATTTTGTTAAGGATAATTAAAAAATGGTTGCAGTAGTACATTGACAGGGAACTGTCAGAAATTCAAACAGCATTCAAAAGAGGGTATGGAATGAGAGATATCATTTTTGTTGTCATTGGATCTTGGCTGAAAGCAGAGAATATCAGAAAGATGTTTACCTGTGTTTTATTGACTATGCAAAGGCATTAAACTGTGTGTATCATAACAAATTATGGATATAACATTGTGAAGAATGGGAATTTCAGAACACTTAATTGTGCTCATGAGGAACATGTACATAGACCAAGAGGCTGACGTTCAAACAGAACAAGGGGAAACTGCATGGTTTAAAATCAGGAAAAGTGTATGTCAGAGTTGTATCCTTTCACCATACTTATTCAATCTGTTTGGTGAGCAAGTAATTTGAGAAGTTAGACTATATGAAGAAGAACACAGCATCAGGATTGGAGGAAGACTCATTAATCAGCTGCAATATGCAGATGATACCACCTTGCTTGATGAAAGTGAAGAAGAATTGAAGCACTTACTGATGAAGATCAAAGAAAAAAGCAACACCGTGATAAACAGAGAAAAGATTGAAGTTGTCAAGAATTCATTTTACTTGGATCCACAAGTAATGCCAATGGAAGCAGCAGTCAGAAATCAGATGATGTATTTCACTGAGCAAATCTGCTGCAAAAACATCTTTAAATTGTTGAAGACCAAAGATGTCACTTTGAAGACTAAGTTGGGCCTGGCCCATGCCATTGTCTTTTCAATAGCCTTATATGCATGTGAAATCTGGACAATGAATAAAGATCAAAGAAGGCTCGATGCATTGGAATTGTGGTATTGGCAAAGAATATTGACAATACCTGGAACTGCCACTAGAATGAACAAATTTTTGGAAGAGGTGTAGCTCCTTAGAAGTGAGAATGGCCAGACTTTGTCTCACGTACTTTGGTCATGTTGTCGGAAGGGACCAGTCCTTGGGGGAAGGCTATCGTGCTTGGTAAAGTAGAGGGTCAGTGAAAATGAGGAAGACCCTCAGTGAGATGGATTGACACAGTGGCTGCAGTGATGGGCTCAAGCAAAGCAGCAGTTGTGAGGATGGCACAGGACTGTTTCATTCTGTTGTGCATAGGGTCACCATGAGCCAGAAATGACTCAATGACACCTAAAAACAACAAATGTGCACAATCCCGTGGCATTTAGTACATTCACAATGTTGTGCAGCTCTCATCTAGTTCCAGAACATTTTTATCTACCCAAAAGGAAACCCTATACCCATTAGGCAGTCATTCCCCTTCCCGCCAGCACCCAACAGCCTCTAATGGCTATCTATTTCTATAGATTTGCCTGTTCTGGATATTTATATAAATTGAATAACATTCTATATTCATTTGCTCAATATTTATTTAATACTTACAACACCTTGAGGTGAGTACTGTTATTGTCCCATTTTACAGAGGGAATTGATACACAAAAAAGGTTAAATCACAGTTCTAGTACATTGAGCTTTTATCATTGTCTTGTTATTAAGACTGCCTTCTACTACTCTTCTACTGAAGGACTTTTTGACAGTTTCCTTTTTTTTTTTCCTTTTGCTATCTTAAAATAGTTCAGCAATTGACATCCTTGTAGTATATATTATCTTGACAAAATTTCGTATTATCTATAGGGCTAAATAAATCCCAGAAGTAGCATTGCTGAATTTTGTTTTTTAACTTTGAGAACTTTTGGAAAATTAATAGTGTTTTGAGAGTTTTTGGAGAATTTCACTACATCTGATCTGATCTTATGAGCCCTATCTTGGATGTAGGGCCTTTCCCAGATGGGATATGGGAGGAAGGAAGGCCTGTTTTCACTGATTGTGCTGTTTATTCAAGCAGAGATCATAATATATCTACTGATGATCTCTTTTCAGAACTGGTGGAGTCTCTTTCATTGCAGGGATCTTATGCCGGAAAAATCCATTCCATCGGTGATGCCTTCAGAAATTTTAAAAACCTCCGATCCTTAGATTTATCAAGAAATTTGATCACTAGCCTAAAGGTAAGTTCTGTATTCTATGACCAGCCAGGTCAGCCCAATTTATTTTTTTGATGGGAAGAAATAAGGGCTAGATAATATCATCCTGAGGAATATAGAACTTTCCTTTTAAATGCTTCCCAACTACATTTTATTATTTACTGTAAAATTCTTTCAACTTTGCTCCATGTTTGATTTTTTTTTTTTTTTTTTTTTTAAGAATAAAATTTGGGGAAAAAATTCCTTTTGTATTCAAGGAAAACTATGTTAAGCTATTGTTGCCTAGGGCATTAGCAGAAATTGTATGCAAGAAATTATGAAGAGAGTTTGTATAAGTGCAAATTCTTAGACCCTACTCAGAGAGATCTTGATTTATTAGGTCTGCTGCGGGCTCGGGACAAATCCCCCGGTGATTCGGGTGCTGGTGGTACATGGGTACACATGGAGACACTGGTCTTGGGTGTTGCTGTTTTTTTTTTTCTATGATGAAGAGGAAAAGGTGGTCTTTAAAACAAAAATTTCCAGGTTAGGGGATGATGGAGGAGAGAGCAGTACAGGAAGGTAGGAGGGAGCAGGCCTGAGCAGAGTAATATGTGAGATTTAGTTGACACCAAGAGCGTGATAAACATAAATGAATGCACACAGATGGAACTTTTTTTTTGCTTTGTGATAGATCAAAAATCCTACTTCTTCCAGGTATTCCCATTTTGCCCCAACTATATACTTGTCTTGGTGAAGCTTTTCTCTCCAAGACTCAAGGGGGAAAACTCAGATGCTACGCAGAATTAGTCAATCTCCTGGATTATTCTGCAATTTTTAATTTCTTCGGGAATACTTGTTTAACAAAATAAATCAGACTCAATCTCAAGATCCTAAACTAAGCTCTTAAAAAGGGGAAGCCCAAACAAGATCAAACCTCCAGCTGGTCCTCATTTAACCCACTGCCATCTAGTTGATTCCAAATCATTTCAACCCCCGAGGCTGTAAATCCTTACAGAAGTAGATTGCCTCATCTTCCTCCCACGGAGAGCTGGAGGGTTTGAACCATTGACCTTCTGGTTGGAACTAAATGCTTCACCCAGATCCTTATTTAGGAGACTCTAAAAGCAGTGGCTCCAAATTGAACTAGGTTTTTAGACTGTATTTGAGTTGCCATTTGTATTTGGCACATCGGTCTCAAAAAGTATTAGTTTAGAGTTGCTTAGGTCTCCTTTTTTCATCTGTGTGTGCATGTTTGTGTTGACAGAGCTCTTGGTATGTGGCAGCTAATCCTCACATGTTATCCTGCCCAGACCTGCTCCCTCCTACTTTCCTGCATTGTTCTCTGCCCCAACATCCCCTACCTTGGAAATTCTTCTTTGTTTTGAAGACTACCATTTCCTCTTCTAGAAAACATCCCGACAGTGTTTGTTTATTTGTTCTTCTTTGTCGGGCTAAAATATTAAGTGATTGTGGTAGTTAAAGTTGTGTGTCAGTTTGGTTGGGCCATGGTTTTGCATGGTTTGGCAGCTGGATGTAGTTATTCCCCAGGATGAGATTGTAATCACCTGCATGGTGCAATCTGTTGTGAGTACCTAATCAGTTAAAGGAGAGCTGCCTGTGAGGTGTGGCCTGCTTCCAGTATATAGGGTAAAGCTTTGAGAAAGGTCTGTAGCTTTTTGGCACAGTTGGATCCTGCATTTGGCTGAGTCTTCACCTCTAATTCCTGGACTTGAACCGTTGTGTTACCTGCTGGTTTTGGGATTGTGCCATTTTACCTGCTTACCTTGGCTTCATCAGTTTAGCAGCTCGCAGCTGCCTGAGTTATGAGACGCCGCCAGCTCCAGTGCGCATGGAATGAGAGGGAAAGCTGAAGCCCAAAGGCAAGAGGCCTTCACCCAGCCCCTAGAGCCAGCACTCTGAATGTGGACATCTAGTTTCCTAAACTGTAAGAGAATGAATTCCTGTTTGTTAAAGCCATCCACCTGTGGTATGTCTGTTAGAGCTGCACTAGAGAACCAAGACAGTGATCATTGCTCTTCTTATATTCCCTTTCTTTCCTCTTCTGTAAACTGAGTGAAAAGCTATTGTGAGGATTAATCAAATTAGCTTAAATAATCAAATATTAACAATATCTAAACCTCCTAGTACAGTGCTTGACATGTAGGAAGTACTCTATAGATGTGTTAGTTTCCTACTCTTTTTGCATCTGTAATTTATCTCTAGCAGCTCAGAATCACTTTGTTTAATTTCCTGGGGGTGGGGGGGATGTTTTGTTTATTGCTACTATAACTTTGGAAAATGCGTGAATTCATGTCAAATGGGAAGAGTGACAGGATAGAAATTGTTTCGTTGACTTTTAACAGTGAGAGAAATTAAAGGCTAACTTGAGTTGGGACATTAGATATATTTAAAGGCAGTCCTAATGGTGTTTCCCTGAGAGTGGGCTTAAAAGCTCTGATAAAGAATCCTAACCACTGACCCTTTAACAACACAGAAGTTAGTGGAATTGAAAAGAGCTGGAAAGAAATGCATCTCAGTGTGACTCAGGGTTCTGTTTGGAAATGTTTTGTACGTATCTCTGAGTTTTCTAAATTTCTTGAAATGAGGGTCATTTTAAATGAGAATGAAAACGTTATTTTATGAATACATGATGGAAATTTTATCTTTCTGAAGTTATCTTCAAAAGTAGAGTTCCTTGTGTTGTATTTTTACTAAAGAAAAGTATGTGATTAGACCTATATTTACATGTTTTGAAATATTGTCCAGAAATTTAGGGTTGGGCAAAACAGCTAACTAACCAAATACATGAAAATAAAGCAATTAATTTCAATAGCCACTTATAGCAAAGGAGGAAAATGGTGGCTTTTCCCCTTGAGTTTCCCAGTCCTGATTGAATTTTTGCCGGTTAAGTAGAGGCATGAACTTGCCTGATCTGTGGAAAGAGATCTGACCAAGGAAGAATATTTCTACCAAAGAGAATTGGAGGATGGGAAGCTTGTATGGTGGCAGTAACTCTGAAGGGTGAAACAAGGTCAAGAGAGGATCCTAAATTGGTCCAGGAGGGAGGGCTTGCAGGTGCTATTGTTTTGTTTCCCCAAAGAGTCCACTGATCCTATGAGTGAGGCAATGAGATTTAGGGGCATACACACACATGCACTGTTGAAAAACCTTTTCTTTCTTCCTCAGAACTAGCTCTTCTTCCTACCTTTATTCTTGTAAGTTGGAGTACTGTGAGGCCAGGACAGTGGTTGGGGGCAAGGACAAGAGAAGTGCAAAGACCGCTTGGCCTGACTCCAACTGGGAAGGATTGCTTTGGGGAACAAGAGAAGTAGGGAACTGAGTGCAGATATTTGAATACCAGATTTTGTAAAGGAGGAAATGTATCATATATGAAGTATTTAATATTTAGAATACCCATTGCCCATGGACTACAATGTTCTTATTCCCAGACAACTGAATGTGAGTTCCAACCTTGCATTCCTCACAGGACACGGGCAACTCGGGTGCCATGTTTAGGATGGAAAGTAATCCTTCATCTGTGAGAGTCCTAGTCCTTACCAGCATGCAGTTTATAATGTGGTCTTTTCCTTGCAGGGCATCCAGTATTTATGTTCACTCCAAGACCTGAATTTATATTATAACAACATTCCTTCATTAGTGGAAGTGTCCCGCCTACAGCCTTTATCCTTCCTCAAAGAACTAGATTTGAGACTCAATCCTGTTGTCAGGAAAGATACAGATTATAGGCTCTTTGCCGTGTATACACTACAAACTCTGGAGAAACTGGGTGAGACCCTCCTCCCCTGTTCCTTGCCCCCAGAATCTTACTTAAGTCTCCTAACTTTTTTGATAATGACCCAGGGTGTGCACTGGCAAGATGAACTTATTAGTCAATATTTTTATAACTCTTCTCTGGGAGGATTTATGACAAATAAATTCTTTTATGTTAATAAACAATAATCTATGATTTTATCAATTATTTCCAGCTTTAGTTTTCTTCACTTGAGCTCCTCCTCAACACAAATGCTTAGAGTTGAGATTGATTTTTCCAGGTGGCCCAACTTTGCAACTGCATTAGCAATAGAAAATTAATACAACTCTGGGGTTTAGTTGACAAGGAACAATGAATATCCCTTCAAATGAGCTGGTCTATATTACTTTTTAATTTTATTGTTAAATAAGTATTTTTAGTGGTACAAATTTCTAGTTCACATTCCCCTGGGAAAGTTATTGCCCTAGCGGTGATAAAGGGAAACTAAGTAAACTTTCAGAATTTGGTATCACTTTCAGTCTTCACATTAGGGCCATTGAGTTGTTTGCTGACCAAGCCCTGCTTTCCTGAAGTAGTTCTGCCTCCGTGGCAGTGGTTGCTATGGTATCCCTTGTAGTCTCCCTGAGTTACTGCTTGCTTCAGTGACAACATAATAGCTTTATTTTGTGACCTGTCTCTAATGAGAGAAGATGAGACTGGTCTTTAGTTTTTACTGTGTGGAATATGACTTTCTGACCCACTACTGTTGACTCCAAAAAAAAAAAAAAGAAACATGCTCAGACCCCGATTTTTGCCTGCAGACGACCGAATTGTACGTGACAGTGAGAGAAAAGCTGCCAAGCTGCATTTCAGTCAGTTGGGCAACAGTGAAAATTTTCTTTTAGAGGTGGAAAAAAGGTAAGGTTTGGAAATTTTTTTTTTTTTTTTTTTTTTAAAGTTTGGTTCTGGAATAGAGAATAGTAAATTTCTGCATAACTCTCCACAAGTTGTAAGAATCCTCAGATCAGGAATAAAAGTACCTCTCAGGCATACTAGTGGGCTCTGGTGGTGCAGAGGTTAAGGCATTTGGCTGTTAACCAAAAGTTTAGTGGTTCAAACCCACCTGCTGCTCTGTGAGAGGAGAAGAGGCAGTATGATTCCATAAGGATTTACAGCCTTGGAAACCCTGTGGGGCAGTTCTACTCTATCTTCTAGGGTCACTGTGAGTCAGGGTCTGTTCGACAGCAGTGGATTGGGTTTGGTTAAGCAGCATACTGAGATTTCCCTGGGGTGAGAATCTGGCCTTGCGTGGGTACGTACGTTCTTGAACTGTTGAGTCAGCTTTGGATATAATTGCTATAAATTCCCTATAGAAGTTGTTCAAAGTTTATAGGGAGGATATTATGGAATAACTTATCATACTCATAAAGACTTACCAGCCTTATCTTAGAGTTATAAATCAGTACATCATCTTTTCATTAGGATTTCATTACCATGAAAAAAGAACAAAAACCAAACTCACTGCTGTCAAGTCAATTAGACTCATAGCGACCCCTCCTTGGGTTTCCGAGGCAGTATTTCTTTCTTTCTTTCTTTCTTTTTTTTTTTAATTAGGATTTGGGTGAAGATTTACAGAGTAAATTCACTTTTCGTACAGCAGTTCACATATACTTTGTCTCATGTCATTGACCAAAATTTACAATGCAGCAGCTCCCACTTCCTCCCCA